GCCCCTTTTCTCTACACGATCCCTCCTGTACCGGGTATAGCCATCTATCCCCGTGGTCCAGTCATGGGTGGAGTCCCACCAGGTCTCCGTTATCCCTATGACATCGTAATTGTTTGCACTGAGCAGGAGGATGAGCTCCTCCTGCTTATTCCCCAAGCTCCTGGCATTAGTGTACAGGCAGGCAAGTGCCCCCTGGGGGGCTCCTTCCTTGCCCACAGGTTTTACCAGGGCTGGGGCAGGGGTGGGCTCCCTGAAGCGTTGTGATCCGCTGGCTTTGCAAGGATTGCTCAGCGGGCCATTATTAATGTTTGATAAACTATTCTTGAACATCAGACTGAATTGGACTCCAAGTGATATATCTAGGACTTGATTATTAAAAATAAGCCTGAATGCTGCATATTTATCAAAAATGTCTGATCGGTGCTTACTGATAATTGATAACTAAAAACTAATTTCAACATATTTAGCATTAAACATAACTGTTGATTAATATATTGTTACTAATTAAACATTAACTATACATAATTACTGATTATTAAGTGAACCAACAACCTTGATTTCTTTTCATTAACTGAAAATTTTGATTAACATGAAATAGCTGTTATCTATTAATATTAGCAACAGATAATAAATTAGCAATGACCAGTGGTTGATTACCACAAAGAGATGAATATTTCTTTGGAACCGTAGAAAACTATTGATTATCAACAGTTGTTTATCCTCATATATGCATGCCCAATGATTGAGTGTTCATCACAACGGGTCCTAGTTTTCTCTGATTAAAAAAAATCCCAAATTTTCAGGTATAAAAAAAATCCTCAAATCCATATTTTTTCCATGATTAAAATGAAACACCACTTACATATTTAGTGGTATTTAATTTTAATTGCAGAACAATGTGGATGGGGGAGGCGCATTATAGCTAAAAATTTGGAATGATTTTTATCAGTGAAAACCAGGATCCCTGTTCATCACAGCTTAATGAGTGACTTAATAGATCAAAAATAAATTCTCAGTTACAAAGTACTACTCATTGGCACGAAGAATGAAAGAATGAAGTATAAGTGTGGGTACAGGAAGCCATTATTACCTTGAACATTGTGACACCAGTACTGTAGCAGAGGCTGAGGAGAAAGAGAACAATGAAAGTAAGTGCTGTCCAGAAACTGTCAGGTTCTTCCTCTCCTTCTTCAACAAAATCCCATGAGTCAAACACCACAAAGACAGGAGCTGGGGACAAGACAGACATCCAGTTAGAGCAGTCTCCTATTTAACTTCATAAAGCATTTGAGCATATGGCAGGGAACTATCACCCTGAAGCTGGCAGCATAAAAGACAAGAACACAGGGTGACCTCTGTACAGGCTCCAGTTTTCAAAGAAGGATAAGGGATTTATCCCACTGAATCTTACTGTCTTGTGGTCATTTAAAAATCCCAGTGGCAATACAAACCCTTCCTTGACCACATTACCCAAAGGCAGCAAACAGCAATGATTTCCCAGTCACTTTGAACTGAATCCACAATGGAAAAATATCCCTAGCAGTAGGCAAGATCACAGCCCCCCTCAAAAGTTCCTTTGTTGTGAGATAGACAGCATCTCTGATGACATCATGGATGCAGCTTCCCAAAAGTAACTAAAGACCAGGACACCTGGGTTCTAGCCCCTCTTCTTCCATAGACCCTATTCTGTTACTGTAAGCATAGAAATTGGACAATCAAAACCCACAACTTGCCAAACTATGAACCACACTCCAAAACAAAAATCAACTCATCCACACAACATTCTTCCACAGGAGGAAAGGCATCCACAGTCAGTTCCGTAAACCGTTTTTGAAAGACCAGTGTAATCCTAGAATGAAGCAGGCAATGTATTTCTAGCAAAGATGGAGAAGTACTCATGCCATTGTTGAGGACACTGCTAAGACTTCATCTTGAATATGGTGCACAATTCTAGGCACTCTGTTCCAGAAAGATAAACTGAAACATGGAACAGGTTTAGAGAAGAGATATTATCACATCTAAAAATGGTGAAGCTTTCTTAGGAGAATCAAAGGTCTTGGACTGTAAAGGATAATGTTGGTGCAAGAACACATGGAGACCAACCCTCCATGAATAAATTTAGCCAAGAAAGTAGGAGGAAGTTCCAAACCATTGGAAGAGGGAAATTGGGAACATCCTAGGTAAAATGAGCACAGGTATAAAAAAGCTCACCTAATTGCAATATGAAGATTAATTGTATCAATGAGCTAGAATGATGATGTTGCCATGATAGCAGGGAACAGCAATAACTCAGGAAGCCCCTTCCAGAACCATATAGCTATATTTTGTCCCAAGCTCCTCTACCCACGGGGTATTAGTTGAGAACTTCCTAACATACTGCTCAGTAGGAGCCTCTTTCACTCACTGTGGGCCTGGGCTCCAATGGGAACCAGTTTCCATGAGCTGTGCAGTTCCCTAGTCCATAGTCCCAAGCTTTCCAAAAGTGGTAGAGCCTTTGCATCACCCCCACTGGGAAACACCATAAGGATTTCTCAAATATGTTCATACAAAGCATACAAAGATCCATCCAACTTCCATTGCTGTCCATTTAGGTTGGGGAATGTGCTGGTTGATATGTCTCTGAAAGCCAGGAAACTGGGAACCTTGGCTATGAGAAAATTTTACTTCTATGCCTGGTGCTGCCAATAACACATTCTGTCAATTGAGGTTTAGATTTCAAGAAGGAAAACGCCCCAAATGGGATCATCACTTCTGACATCCTGCTTCATGAGAGCTGAAAGCCCTCACTCTCAGGAACCAAAGGCCTCACATTCAACTCTCCTGGATGATCCAGAGCACTGTTCACAAGGACCACTAATCATAATATGAAAGCTTCAAATGATGGGGTATTCACAATATGTCCAGGTAAATTATTTTATTTCTTTATTCCCTCCAGTGAAAACCTGTGCTTTCTTTCCAGTCTGAATTGGATTTCCAACTCTTCCCCTTCCAGATCTTTTGGCTGTACTCTAGATGAGTTTGTTCTCACAAAAACTCCCTCATCTTGTGGGCACTTCTAGGCCATAACCAAATCATCCCTCAACTTTCTTTTGGACCAACTCAACCACAGGGCTCCTTGAACCTCCCACCTTAATGTCTAGACCTTGACAGACCTCAGGATAAGGATGAATTTCCAATGAGGAAGTGCCTTCCTCATCTCTGACCTAAATAGAGTGACTTTAATTAAACAGTAGACACCTTCATTCCCTCTGTAGTGGGGATGAAAGCAGTTCTTTAATTCCTTTTATCTGTTTAGAGTTTCAGATCTTTGGGAAAGAAATGGTCTTTTTTGTGTGTGCTTGTGTGTCAACCTCCATTGTGGATGGTGATGCAATAGAAGGAAGACTTGGGAACTACTGCAGCCTTGATGCCCCTTCTCAAGTGATACAAGTACTGCTACCTCCATTCTCACAGCTGGAATCCAAGTTATCCCACCCATTATTACAGGTCTTTATATGGCACTAGTCCACAGCAACCCCAGCCCAGGGGCCCAGGGTACCAAGGACTCTACAAATTTAGCTTGGTACTTCATGTTCCCCATCAGTGATAACTTTGCAAGAGCAGTGGTAGATTCCCTTTGAAGATATGGTGGATTCTTGGTCAACAGGATTCTCTAGATATGACATTTTCCCAAAGTGGCCCCAACTCTCCTAGAATATCAGCCCAGATAAGAACTGTCCAACTATTTCTGAGGAATGTAGTGGAGCTCAACCATAAATCAAAGCAGGACTCTCTAGTGTAATTCCCAATCCTGTGCCCCACAGCTGGCCAGACTAGTTTTGAAGGCCATTGTGCCCATCCAAACATGAAATGCCCAAAGCCACAAGCTTGAGAAAACACTTGCTATTACTTGGAACCCCTAAGGACTCTCTGAAAAATCTTGCCCTTTGAACTCCAACAAGGTCAGGTCCCCTAAAGCATAACAGAGGACAAGTCCCACTATAGTGAAAATCCCAGTGTCCTGATAGACCAGGGACAGTAAACTCCTGTGCAGATCAGTTCTACTGATGGAGAACTTGGTAACCCAGTACTCAGTCACTAGATATTTGATACTTAACTTGGCCTTCTTGACTTTGAATCTTTCATTGATTCATTCACAGAAGAAAAAGCAGAAAAGACAAGTTGGCTCTCTCATCTGACTCACTGTATAACACCAGACATGAAATTCCTTCCAGTTACCCCTACATTCAGCCTAAAACCTAGTGTTCAGCTAAGACAGCTTCCAAAAGAACAGTTATTCTTGGTTGAAGGACTTCAAGAAATGGAGAATTCATCCATTCCCTTTCCAGTCTTTTCCCCAATAATTGTCAGAAATTTGCCTTTCCATGATCTTTTGAACTAGCCTAGCTTCACCTTTCACTCACTGGTGGTGTGATAAAGAAGATATGTTGGCTGTTTCCTGGAGAAGAAAGGAAGAAGGGATGAACAAGATGGAGAGATTGAGAGACAGACCATGTCAGAATATGACATCCTACTGAAAACAAGCTCTAGACAGTTGCTCTTTTATTTTAACATACAACACATACAGCCAGGCTCTGTTCACCAGAAATCCCTCAGCTTTATATATAAACTACATGGCATGTAGTTTACACAAGGCTTGCACAAGTAGACACAAGGCTTGCAGGGCTCTATCCCCTCAGTAGCAGGTGATTTCAGTGTCAGACAAAACTACAGAGACGTTGACAGCGGTGGGTTTACCAGAGGCTTTGTCCACACTCTTCTGGACAAAGGTCATTGGGAGGCTTTCATGACCCACTACACAGGCAAAGATGTCTCCCCGCTGCCACTCATTGGTCAGGACACTGAGCTTGCTGTAGATGAAGTAGTTCATCTCCTTCTCTGCAGTGTCCTGGACGGGTCCAACATTGATGAAAGTTTCCTGGGACACGGGCCGGCCCTGCTGGGTCCATGTTACCAGGATGTCACTGGGGCGGAAGCCCTTAGCCAGGCAGGTCAGAGTAGCTACCTCCTGCAGGGACAGCTCATCAGCAGAAGGAGGGTAGATGTAGACTGAAGGAGCCTGTAGATTGGTGGCTGCCAGGTCAAAACAAGCAAGAATTAATGATCAGGGGTCCAATATGGAAGTCCTGGTACCTCTTACCTAATGCATCCTACACCAGGAAATAGAACCTAGGAGTCCTCTCTCCCATAGCCTCCTTCTTCCAGTGAATAAACCCCACTCTCCTCTAACATGAGGGATAAAACCCAGATCTCCAGATTCTGCCACCCAAGTCCTAACCCACTCCCTTCCCCAACTCCAAGGACATACCCAGAAGTCCTTACTCTCCATCTCTTTCACTACATCTATATTTTAACACTTAACCCTACATCACAATTTTTTTTTTAATGCAGTTCCACTGCCTGGATATGCATCAGAGTAAGCATGTCCTGAAGACACAGGCCCCATATCATATACCCCTGACACAGGGGCTGGAGTAGAGTTGGTAACCCCCCACCCCCCCTCCACATACCTTTGGTCTTGTGGATGGATTTGGTGATGGCTGATGGGATGCCCGGGTGCTTCACTGTACAGGTGAATTCCTCCCCAGACTTCCATTCCTCTGCGCACACCCGCAGGATGCTGGTCACACTGTAGGTGCTATTTTGTTGCTGAACTGGCTGGCCAGTCACCACATCCAAGGTGCCCGTACTTCCCCGGCTCCAGGAGATTTCCAAGTTGCTTGGTGTCTCCAGGTTGGTGACCAAGCAAGTGATGGTGGTGTTATGTGCTACAAAGATGTCCTTCAGGGAAGGGGGATAGAGGAATACTTCCACTGGTCTTGGGTCACAACGATCTGCTGGGGGGCAGGAGATGGAATTGAGGGCTGGGTTTTATAAATAGTCAGTGGGTAAAAGGTGGAAACCACCAGCCTGTGGTACAGTGGAGTGATAGCCATGGCTTACGTAAAGTGAATGCATTGGCATGGGCAGTGGTATTCCAAGTACAACTGAGGGATTCAGATGCCTGGGTCCCTCTACAAGAGAGCTCTCAAACAGTGATAGTGGCTTTTGGGTCCATGCAGAGGTCCTCCAGGGAAAAGGAAAGTAGAAAGTCTACTGCCTTGGTTTGATGGCTAACTAAGGAAGGTCAGGGAATGAAGCATTGGGCTGAGAACACACTCAATAGAAGTAAGGTGATAACCACATGCCATTCCTCCAGGGATACCATTATCAAGGGACATCTGTGGAACAGACTAAGGAGTGAATAAGATGAGAGTGATCTGGGGGCTGGGTACTGGGCCCCCTTATAATGCTGAGGGAACTCACTCTCACCCAATGGGGAAGGCAGGTCTTTGCATGGGACATCAGGAAGTTTGGCTGAGGTTTCCCAAATCACCTTTGCTATGTGGACACCAGAGGCGTTTCAGAATGAATTGGCTCTCTATATCCTCTGAGTGATATATATAGACTTTATATTCTGTTAGTTGAGTAGTAGTGGCTGCCTTATCCCACTATGCCCTACTACCCTGTCCTGGCCCTGGAATAGACCCAGGAAACCCCACTCTCACAGAACCCCTCTGTCCTCCCTCCCTGCACCCACCCCCATTCTGTAGATTAAGTCTGTGCCAGTTCCATCTTACATCCCAAGCACATCATGGATGATGTTTCAAGCTCTCTTCACCATTTCCATGTCACTCATCACCACAGTCTGTACAGTCCATCTCCACTACCTTTAGCCAATGCTTGTTTCTGACTTACCGGTATTGCACTTGCTTGCATTTCTCATCTCATAGCCTGTGGTCAAGGCAGGATGGGACACTTTGCACGTGTAAACATCCTCCTTATTCCAGCTCTCCCTAGAGATGTTCACTCGGCTCTGGCCCATGAACAAGCCATTTGTGCCCTCTGCGGAGGAGTAGACTGTGCCAGGAAGGTCCTTCTTGATTCCATTCACGAGCCACTCCACCTTGGCTTCATTTGGCGTGAAGTCCCAAAGAAGGCAAATCAGTTCCAGCACTGGGGAAGAGCCACCCTCACAGGGGGGGGTCAACAGGTTCACCTGGAGTGGAACCGGTATTGGAGGGCATTCTAAAAACACAGAGTAAGAGAGAAGTGAAAACACAGTCACAGAGCCATTAGCTACAGATCACGAGTCCCACGATAACAACCTCAGATGGGTCCTACACTGGCACCTCATCCCACAGTCTTCTTTATGTCTCACTAATCGGTCTAACCATAGAGGAAATAAAGATTACTCATTCAAAAGTATAAACCAGCTCACAGTTTCCCTCAACAGCTCTACCAGGGACTTTCAGAACGCCCTACCCTGACAGACCCCCTTCTCTCTCCTCCCCAACTTGCTGGAGAACACCCTCTATGAGCCTCCAACCCCTTCCTCCACTACAAAATGGTCCCTCTTTCCTTCTCTGTTTTCTATCTTTTTCCATACCTTTTTCATCCCTCCTCTCATCTTATCCGTGGTGCCTTCATCTATCTATCCATCACTTTGACCCTCTCTCTGTCTTTCCATGGTGTCATTTTCTCCATGAGATCTTACTGTTCATCAAACTTTCCATAGTATCTACTTTTCTCCAACCATCCCTCCCTCCATCACTTCACAGCCATGGCTCCAGAAGCATCCCAGAGAACCCAGTCCAGCACCTACCAACATCCATGGTGGTTTGGAATGCTGTTGCCTGATGCTTCACAGTGCACTGGTACTTCTGGGACATCCAGCTGTCAGCTGGGACAGTTAGCTGGCTGCTCATGATGTAGAGCCCATTAGATGAGTCCCATTCAGAGGAGGAGGTTGTGATGCCAGAGGAAACTGTGCTTGATCCTTTTTTCCACTGTACTGTGACAGGCTCTGGGAAGTAGCCACTGACAAGACAACCCAAGGCAACCTGGGAGGATGTAGGAGAGCTTTTGCAACAGGGAGTCATGGGGAAGACAGCCGGGGACTTGTTACCTGTAAAGAGAGAGAGAAGCAAGGAGGTGACATATCAGCCCAGTGGAGCACCTATTACTGTACCCAGCATCACGGCACCCTCTAGTGCTGCACCGGGGCATGGGGATCGGGGCTAGGTGCCAGTGGAGAGTCCCACCCCACTGGGCCCCTCACCCAGTTCTGGGTCATTCCTCCTGAGTTCACTATGAACATTTCTTGATCTGGCATACATCAAGATCTCTGTATCCCCCTGGGATTCTCTTTTCTCTAATAGCACTTCTACATGGGTTTTTTTTCATCTCGCATGGTTGGCCTGTGCTCCATTTCAAGCATGACTGAGACATAAAAATGCCTGGCTGCTGTTAAAATTTCCACCACTCGTGCTTAAAAATACCCTATGAGAATATGAGCCAGAAGGTAGCATTAGGTATCATCTCATGACAATAGTTTCACACTTGCAAGATATTCTTCTTTCTCTTAAAAGCCTGAGGTTGATACTGGGGTGCACCCAACCCCCTGACTTAAAGGCAGGTCCTATCATACCATCCAGTGATTACCAAACCCCAACTAAGGTTTCAACTTGGACAGTCAGACACCATAATAGGTGCACCAGAAATGGGAATCTGTGCCGTATCGTCCACCTTGAATCAGATGCTTCCCAGGCACATGAAGACACAGCCCCTTTACTTAAGGAACTGCTAATCCAAACAGGCAAAGGTTAGGAGAGGGATTTAAGGCCCAGAGACAGAGAGAGGCTTCTTGAGGTCATGCAGAAGGGCACAAGCAGGGCTAGACATACAAGCCAAGGGCTCTGAGTCCCAATTAGGCACTCTGCCCTCTGGACGATACTATGGACTTGTGCTGCAACTCATTAATGATGTGGAGCGGACTGCCTAGAGCTCTAGGTTTCTCTAGCCCAGTCTTACATCAATATATCAAGCCTTCTCTCATCCCACCCATCCACATCACAAACCTTGCTGCCTATCTGTTTTTCCATCCCCAAACATCTTGTGTGTCCACCAATGCATCCATCCTTTCTTCCATCCAACCCCAGGCAAAGCCCTGTCTCTCTCTATCATCCTTTACTCAACATCTCAGAGCTGTCTTTCTGCAGGCTCTTTCCAAGAAGACACAAGAACCTTTTCTTGTTTAGACACTGATGCTAATTTGCAGAAATGAACAGACTCAAACTGTTCTCGCCCTCTTGGATTTCCCTGGGTTCACTTCTGGCCCCAAAAGCAAATGCCCTGACCTACCCTGCTGCTTCTGAGCAAATTCTCAATGTCTTTTAGTTAGTTCCTTGTAAGAAACCTTGAGCTGAGACCTATCTGTGCCCCATAGCTGGCTGACATTGTCAGACTCATCTGTAGCTGCTCAAATTCCACACCCAGTGGAGCAGACCCCAGGTGTCATGCAAGCAGTGTATCTTCCCAAAATGCCATTAATTAATTTGCCAATTCTAAGAGATGCAAAACATTTCATATCTGTTGGATGGAAATGCACAAATATCAATATGAGAGAGAACTTGGGATGCAGGACTCCTGAGGTGTGCCCCCATCCATCTGAGAAAAGAAGTACAGTCTAGTTTTTTGGAGCAGGGAGGGACTGGGGTTCATTCCTCAGGTCCCAGAGAGGAGGGGTTTCTCAGGGGCTGAGCCTGGGAGGAGCTGGGAACCAGGACACCTGAGTTCTGTTCTTCAGCCCTCCCAACAAACTGGAGTCCTATGTATTGGCACTTGCAGGCTTTGAATAGAAAGACTTGAGCCTTATTAGCAGCTGTAAGGAATGTCTGGGATCTAGTGGGTAACAGCAGAGAGGGGCTGAGAGGACAGGACCCCTGGGCTCTACCCCAAATCAGTGAGAACAGTGGGAGGCCTTGTGAGTTAGAATGGGGGGTGGGAGGGGCTGAGAAACGAGGGGGGGTTATTCCAGGCTGGTTTCTCTGGCCCTCCCAAGGGGGAGATTATGTAAAATGCTCCCCAGGGACACTTTCTTTTTCTGAGAAATGCAACCACCTTTCCAATTCTCAGACATGAAGAAAAGAAACAAACAAACAAGCAACAAAAAAGGGGAAGTTCAGATGAGTAAATGTCTCACCCAAATGTCTCTTCCATCCAATTTTAGCCCCCGAGGCTCACCCAAGCATCAAATCATCAATGCCAACTCACCAGTTTCAACAGGAAGCAAGTCCCAGTTCACGTCATTGGCATTAATCAATGTCCTATTGTTTGTGTGACAATTGGAAAGTGCTGATACCACCTGGCCTCATACAGGCAAAGATGCTTTGGACCAGATGCAGCAAGGAGTTGTACCAGAGCTGGGCCCAGGTAATGACCCCTGTGTCTACGGCTCTTGGTTTTGATCTGCCATGAGCAACGCTTCGGTGAGTAAATCAGAGGGAAGAAGGTTCCCGTCCCTGCAAGTGACTATCCTGAGGGAAGACACATTAAGAAGGAGACCTGGGCTGTCCCTGAACTGCTGAGGAAGGGAAGAAACAAGGCAGGTTGTTACCCAACCATGCTAAAAAGGCAGCATAAGGCTGATGCACTCCTTGCATGGTATCTCTCCATGGGATGATAGAGGGGAGGTAAAGGAGTATTACAGCCTGGAACACAGCAGGCACATGTGGTGGATGAGGCCAGGCTGAGATGGCAGGGAGCCCAATCAGGGGCAAGTGAGAGGCACAAGAGCTGGGATGAGACAGCCTAGAGAAAGATGCCAAAGCTCGGAGCAGGGGAGTCAACAGGAGAACAGTGCTGAACACCAGATCTGGGGGAACCAGGTGGTTCATGGGCCAGGAGTGAGGGGAATTAACATAGCTAGAAAAGAAGCGCAGGACTGGGGGCTCAAGAAGTGAGCAAGTGGCACCAGTAGAGCTCGGGAGAAACCTGGGGCTGGGGTAGCAGGGGCTGCTGTCATATCTGAGGGGCAATGCTGTGTGTTGGAAACTAGTGCTGGAAAATGTGGGAGCTGTAGCCTGGGGCGGGGAGCCCCTAGCAGAGATATACTGAGTGCCCGGGCCTGGGTTAGCTGGGGGTTAGGAATCAGGATTGAGGGGAGCCATCATAGCTGGGTGGGTGGGAGCTCAGGGTGCAGCTAGCAGGAGGCTGCAGCTTGGGAGGGAGGGACATGAGCAGGGCAGGGGGAAGCCTCAGTGTGAAGTAGCAGGGTGCTGTGCAGGGAGGGGGCTGCTAGCAGAGCTATGCGGGAAGGGGGAACCCAGGGCTGAGCTACCGGAGGGCTACTGGTCAGGAATAAGGGGCACCAGCAGATCTGGGGTGGAGCCCACAATTACCATAGCAGGGAGGTTAGCACCAAGCCAACAGTGAGGGGCACTGGCAGAGCTGAGGGAATGCCTGGGCTGGGCTGGGCTGGGCTGGGCTGGGCTGGGCTGGGCTAGCAGGGGGCTGCTGCTTGCCAGTGCGAGAGCTAAGAGAAGCCTGGGGCTGGGTTCAGGAATGTGGGGCTCCAAAAGAGCAGGAAGCACCCCAGGGCTGGAGCAGGCAGCTGTGGGTTGGCACTGGGGGGTACAAGCAGGCCTGGGATGGGATAGTCCTATGCTTGTTTAGCAGAGGGCTGCTGGTCAGGCATGAGGAGCACTCAAAAGCACCCCACGCTTGGGAGGACAAGGACTGCAGGTCAGGGGAACAGGGTACTGACAGAGCTATGGGGAGGGGAGGTGGTATAGCCAAGGGCTGAGCTAGCAAGGACTATAGGGTGGAAATGAGGGGCACCAGCAGAGCTGGAGAAAACCTTTGGCAGTGCTAGGGGGCTACAAAGCAGGCTCGAGGGGCAGCAGAAGAGCAGTGCAGTGGTAGCTAAAAATGGGATATAACAATGCCATAGCAGGGAACTGGGGAGCACACCAGGGCATTGCCCAGAGCCCAGGCTGGGATGAGCCAGGGGGCTGCAAGCTGGATGTGAGAGGCACCAACAGAATGGGGGGGAGCTCAAGGGCAGCTACCAAGGAGCTGCAGGTTGGGAATGAAGACCATAGGTTGAGATGAAAGGGGAAACTGAGGATTGATCAAGCAGACAGCTATGGGTTGGCAGTGAGAAGCACCAGCAGGGCTTTGGTAAGTCCAGCCATGGGCTAGGACAGCAGAAGACTGCTTTTTAGGAGTGATGAGTATTGGTGGAGCTGGGAAAGAGCCCAGATCCGTGAGGGCAGGGGCTGCAAGCTGGGAGAGGGGCAGGGGCTGCAAGCTGGGAGAGGGGAGCACTGGCAGAGCTGTGGGGAGCTGTGGGGAGCATGGAAAACAAGGCTGAGCTAGCAGAAGCTGGGTGCTTGGGGAGGAGGGCATGACCGGAGCTGGGAAGCACCCCAGGGCTGGAATAGGCAGGAGGATGTGGGTCGGGAGTGAGGGACAGCAGCAGGACTGAGGGAAGCCTAGGAGTGAGCTAGTAGGGTGGTGTTGGGTGTGGGGCTGCTAGCAGAGCTGGCCTGAAACAGGGAACCCAGGACTGGTCTAGTAGAGGGCTACTGGTCAGGAATGAGGGTCACCAGCAAATCTGCAGAGGAAACCCCAGTTACCATATCAGGGAGCTTAGCAGCAAGCCAAGGGTGAGGGGCACTGGCAGAGCTGAAGGGATGCCTGGGCTGTGCTATCAGGGTGCTGCTACTTGGTACTGGGAGAGCTGGGAGAAGCCTAGGGCTGGGGTCAGGAATGGAGGGGTCCAGAAGAGTGGGAAGCACCCCAGGGCTGGGGGCAGGCAGCTTTGGGTTGGCACTGGAGGATATGAGCAGGCCTGGGATGGGATAGCCGCATGCTAAGCAAGCAGAGGGATGCTGGTCAGGCATTAGGAGCACTAGAGAGCACCCCAAGATTGGGAAGGCAAGGACTGCAAATCAAGGGAACAGGGCACTGACAGCACTATGCAGGGTGTATGTCCCAGGGTTGGGCTATCAGGAACTGTGGGGTAGGAGTTAGGGGCACCAGCAGGGCTGTAGAAAGTCTCTGCCAGTGCTAGAAGGAGCTACAAACAAGGTTTCAGGAGAAGCAGCTAAGCAGTGCAGCAGTAGCTAAAACTGGGACATTTCAGGATGCTGTAGCAGGGAACTGGGGACATAACTGAGTGCCCAGGCCTGGGTTAGCAGGGATTTGTGAAATAGGATCGAGAGGAGCCATCACAGGTGTGTGGGTGGGAGCTCAGGGGCCAGCTAGCCGGGGGATGCAGCTTGGGAATGAGGGGCACCAGCAATGCTGGGGAAGTCTAGGGGTGCTGTATGGGGAGGGGGCTGCTAGCAGAGCTGGCCTGGAAGCAGGGAACCCAAGGCTGGGCTTGTCAGCCAGGAATAAGGGGCACCAGCAGATCTGGGGAGGAGCCCAGCTACCATAGCAGGGGAATTAACAGCAAGCCAAGAGTGAAGGGCACTGGCAGAGCTGAGGGGATGCCTGAGCAGCCTGAGCTGAGCTGGGCTGCTACTTAGCACTGGGAGAGCCAGGAGAAGCCTGGAGCTGGGTTCAGGAATAACAGACTCCAGAGGAGCAGGAAGCACCCCAGGGCTGGGGGCAGGCAGCTGTGGGTTGGCACTGGGGGGTACAAGCAGGCCTAGAATGGGATAGCCCCATGCTTGGTTAGCAGCAGGCTGCTGGTCAGACGTGAGGAGCACTCGAGAGCACCCCAAGCTTGGGAGGGCAAAGACTGCAAGTTAGGGAGCAGGGCACTGACAGAGCTATGGGGGGGAGGGATATAGCCCAGAGCTGAGCTAGCAGGGGCTATGGGGTGGTAGTGAGGGGCACCGTCAGGGCTGGAGAAAGCTTCTGGCCATGCTAGAGGAGGCTCTGAAGCGGGCCTGAGGAGCAGCAGTAGAGCAGTGCAGCGGTAGCTAACTCTGGGTATAACAGGATGGTGTAGCAGGGAACTGGGGAGCAGGACAGCACTGGTGGGGCTGAGCAGAGTCCTGAACTATGATAGCAGAGCGGGCTGTGGATCAGGGCCAGAGGGATGGGGTGGATGGGAAAGGAGCCCCGGTCTGGGAGGGCAGGGGCTGCAAGCTGGGAGAGGGGAGCACTGGCAGAGCAGTGGGAAGTGTGGAGCACAGGCTGAGCTAGCAGGGGCTGGGTGCTTGGGGTGGGAGTCATCACTGGATCTGGGGGCACCCCAGTGCTGGAGGAGATGGAAGATGTGGGTCAGGAGTGACGGGGCAGCAGCTGGGCTGTAGAAAGCCTTTTGCTGGGCTAGAAAAAACCATGGGTTGGGAATGATGGATGTCAGCAGAGCATTGCAGTGGTAGCTAAAGCTGGAAGAGGAGTGTGTCACAGCCTAGGGGGAAAAGGAGGCATTGCCAAGAGCCCAGATCTGTGGGTGAGCCTGGGGTAGGGTTCAAGAGGATTTAGGTGAGGAGTGAGGGACAAAAGCAGAGCTGATCTGGAGCTCAGTGCTGCGCTCGCAGTTGCTTGGGCATGCGGTACAGGAGGTAAGCTAGAGAAGCCCAGGGGGCTGTGATGTCAAGGGATGGGGGATGTGGGCAGATCTCTGTGGTCAGAAAACCCCAGGGCTGGGATAACTGATGGTTGTGTGGCTGAGGACCTAGGCAGAGGGCCAGCATACGTGTGCCAGAGGGGCTGCGTGCTGGTGATGAGAGGCAGTAGCAGCACCTGAGGGGGTGGCTACGCACAGGATAGATAGCAGTAAACCCACTGATCTGGACCCCGATGGAGGAGTGGAGAAGGAGGATTCCCAGCCTGGGAGAGCAGGGGTTATAAGTCACCCCTGAATGGTATCAGCAGAGGGGAATTCACAGTCTGCTCCTCATCTCGCAATATTCGCAAGTCACCAGCTTCTAAAATGAGACAGAAAATTCCCCTTTGGCAGGTCCCCTGGCTGATTAGGGCACTCCAACCCACCCCATGGGTAAGTGCATCTCTCAGAGCCATCCCTGCCTTCCCCCATAAGCTCTCTGCCTGGGTACCAGGCTCCGACCTAGAGTTTGGGGCATGCCTACCTCACCTTTCAGGTACTGAGCCGCCAACAATTAGGTATGCTTGTCTGTGTTTGAGTGACAGCTCCAAGTCCATGATTTGGCCGTGGGGGTGGACCCTGCTCCATTTCTATGGGATGCTCAGCTTGAGCTGTACTTGGGCACCTTCTCAAGGGTGACCAGCACCTATGTGTCCAACTGAAACCCACTGGAATATGGCCCTCTCTAATTCCTCCCTGAGGTATCTTGAGTTTGTTCACCTAGGGCCTGAGGCAGCCAGCATTTGAGATCCTGCCCCTAGAGTTCAGGAAAGTGTCCCTCAAAGCTTTCACTCACATCTGCTGGAGGATGAATGGTTCCTTGAGAAGGAATATAGCTAGGAAATCTGTGGGCTGGGAACCGGGAAAGCTACTCAAGGTCTGTTTGTGGGAGGAATTGTATTACCCTCTTAGCACAAGCGCTGCACTCTAACCCCATATCCAGGACCTAAATCCCAACTCCTTAACTCCATAGGAATGGCCCACTCCTGGACCTTCACACCCTAACTCCAAGCCAACTCCTTAAACCTAGTCCTAATCCCTAAACTTCAATAATGACCCCAAAACAAGCCTTCATCCTACTTATACCCAGTTCCTAACCTGAACCCTTTTGCGCTCTCTCTCTCAATGCCAACCTACAGCCATAACTCTAGTCTTCTGAGTCCCTCACTAACCTCAAACCTAACCCACACCCCTAACCTCTGTTTCCCAAGATTGCAATGTCTGAGTTTAGGATAATTTGTGCTTGCTATTTGCCTGTAGAGTCCTAGTGTGTTGGGTCTCTGATCCTGGACTTGGGTTCAAAGCTGCCAGCGGGATGGACAAATGGCCCTTTTAGCCTTTAAAAGGTGATGGAGAGGTGCCACTCTGGAGTGTATAGTAACTCTTATGAACTAATTGTTACAGCAGCATGACCCTGTAGCAATACACAGCAGTCAACTCACCTGAGCTATGAACCTGAATGGAATCAGGTTATAGTTGCAGCAGTGTTGCCACACTTGCATCTCTACAGGATCATGCAGATCAGTGATTCTCAACGGGAACCCTATGGCACTCTGAGATGATGAGAGACCCTTTTAAGGGCTGCCACAGGATGCTGTGCAAGATTTACATTGTTAGGTGTTCAAACACTTTACACACAATTTACAAGAGCAACCAAGAGACTTCAAATAGGAATCCAGAGTGTCAGAAATATTCTGACCTGCTGTGGACTTCCTGAGTTCTTGGCAACCTGAAAAAAATGCTCTATTATTTTTCCATAGACAAATAGGAGTGAAAGCAAAAAGCTGGCATTTTCTGAGGGGTGTTTCAAGTCTAATGAGGGACAGCTTGAATCTGAAGTGGTTGAAAATCACTGATGTAGCCATCACAGTTGCATCCTAACAGTTTATATTACTATCCTTTGTATAGTATACTATCCTTTATAGTACCAATATAATTGCTGTCTGTTTTAACCTAAACTAATAGACGTAATGCTAAACCTCTTCACATGGATTGTAATCCCCATGGTAACCATCTGAATATCAGGTTTTACATCCCTCAAGGAGAACAAGTAAACATCAAGGCACTTATCTTTATTGGAAAATGGGCCGCTTGGATTGGACCTATGGCATTTCAGTGATTCTTCCCTGGATCAACACATCAAAACAGGACTGGTTAGAAAAGGAGAGTGATAAACTGTCTTCAGATCCAACAAGATTAGACATTCCTAGGCAGAGGGTTTCCATAAATTACCCAGCATGAAGGTATCCCCTATATTGGCTTCACATGCATAGCAGAAAACATGTCGAAACCTCTCCTCAGGAAATGCCTATAAATTTTACTTTCAGGTTCAGATTTTTACAGGGGACTTCCAAGCACAATTACTGGTAATTTTAATAGTGACTTGATATTCACGTTTCTAATTGGGCATACTCAGGGCACGGAGAGTAACAGAACATGATGTGAAAAGAAAATATGCTTAGTTCTGGGGTGTGCAGGTGGTGAGAAAATTCCACCCTGTGATTTCTCCTTGACCAAGGGGAGCTAGAAAATCTAGTATGAATAACTATGAAGCTGGTTCTTCATGGATGGGAGAGACTTAGGGGCTGGAAGGGTGTGAAAAAGAAGTTGCTGCAGTGTGTGCAATGGAGAACGGTATGCTTTGCAAGTGGTTGGGTTTCACTCCCTTAGAGTACAGTCCAACCCTGGTCAGAGAGCAGGGTGGGCAGCTCAATAAGAAGAACTCTCCCCCCATAGAGGTCCAGATGCCAGTGCCCCAGTTCAGCACCAAGGGAGACTGTGATGCCAAAGGATATACTGAGGACCTCCTATGGGCCATACCTCACAGCTTTTCTCTCTCTCCCCTTACAGGTGACAAGGCTCCAGATGTCTTTCCCATGATCTCCTCTTGCAAAGGCTCTCCTACCTCCACCCAGGTTTCTGTGGGCTGTCTTGTCGCGGGCTACTTCCCTGAACCTGTCACAATGCAGTGGAAAAAGGACTCTAGCACCATCTCTACTGACGTCAAGAACTTCCCATCAGCACTGGACCTGAGCAAAGGGCTTTTCACCACAAGTACCCAGCTCACCATCCCAGCTGCCAGTATGAGTTCCCACACATACAGCTGCATTGTAAACCATCCGAAAACCAAAGCCCACATAACCAAGACAATACCAGGTAGGTCCCAGACTGGGTTTTTTGAGTCCTCTTTGTATTGTCTTCTGCACAAAAAGAGCCTGTTCATTAAAATTCCTTTCAAGCCTAAAGGCCCACTAGATAGTCATGGTTAAGGCAGGACAGTCTTTGTAGGTGATATCACCAATATTACATCCAATTTTGACTCTACATTTGTGCATGGACTGATTAGGGGCATCCCATAGTCATCAGGCTAGGGCAGGGCATTTATGTCTTTAGAACCATCAGAAAAGGCTTTAAACACTGATACTGTACTTTCCACTATAAACTTGTTATCAGTACTGTCTGCTAACTGGAAGGTGCCCCTGGCTGGATGCCTAGACAGAGATCTATCATGGAGGGATAGAAGAAGAGATTCCATTGAGGACAGGGAAGAAAGAGACAGAGATATCATGGAGAGACAGATGGATAGATAAATGAAAGGTTAGATCCTGAGAGAGATACCATAGTAAAATGGGGGGAAAATAAGAATGGAAACAGAAGGGGGTCTGCACCATACAGGAATGGTTTGGGGGCTCAGAAGGGGCCACTTTTCCCTTGCAGTCAGTGCTGTCCCGAGGGAAGAGTGGGGTGTGATGTACTTCCAGGGGTGGGGAGAGTGTGGCTCAGTAAAGGAGCACTGTGTTAAAGGTAGAGGAAGGGGCTGGATAATGGGTCACACTCTCTTTCCATCTGATAGGTGCCGGTACTGCCCCCACGGTGCGTGTGCTCCACTCCTCCTGCAGTGTTCCATCAAAGGACAACAACATAGAGCTGGTGTGCCTCATCTCCAACTTCGTCCCCTTGCCTGTGGCTGTGGATTGGCTGGTGGATGGCACCTCGGGACTTGTGACCTTCAGTACCACAACCCCCCGGAAGAATGAGGATGGTAAAACCTACAGCACCACCAGCCAAGCCAACATCACACAGGAGGAGTGGCTGCAGGGGAAGACATACACATGCAAAGTGACCCATTCAGCAACAGCAACCGAAAAGCAGGACCATGCCCGGAGATGCCCAGGTAATTCTAAGCAGGGTCTGACTTAGAGTGGAGACTTCCAGAACCCTAGAGGAAGGGGGAAGACAGGGTGACTTGGGTGGTGGCTCTGAATACCAGGGAGGGAAGAAAGAAGAGATCAAACCAGGAAGCTCACTCAACTCTTCCATTCCCAGTATCAACACAAGCTGCCAGTGACATCCAAGTCTACGTGGTGCCCCCAAGCCCTGGAGACTTGTATGTGAAGCAGAGCCCTGAGTTGATCTGCATGGTCATCAACCTGCCCAGCAAAGTGGCACCAAAGGTGACCTGGACCAAGGACTCTCCAGGTGCCCTGAATGCCAAACCTCTGCAGTGGGTGGAGCAGTCCAATGGCACCTATACTGCTACCCGTGCCCTGCCCATTTTCACCCCAGACTGGGAGAAGAGGCAGAAGTTTACCTGCAAGGTAGAACACCCAGAATTGCCTTCGCCTCTCACCAAAACAATCTCCAAAAAGACAGGTAAGATGGAGAAGAACCCCCCCC